AAAGATTTATCGCACAGATTTACCCTCACTTGTTGTTGATGTCGCGTTTTTATACTTTCCAGTTCCATCAACATAAGTGACTTTGGTTTCTTTGGTGCATTATCGACAGGTTTGACATGTAATTTCATTTTCATCCATGTCTTGTGGTTTGTAATCTGGATAACTGCACAGTACTGGTGAAAGCACTATCGCTTCATATCACAAGTCATTGTTTCCTTCCTGTGCAACAAATAATTAAGACAGTAAATAAATAGCAAATAAATTAGAATAGTGCTTAAAATTGAAAAGTAAAGAAATAATCTATTGCATAATTCACACTTTTTAAAGAATTATTAAAGCCTAATTAAAGAAAGATGTACGTATATTAGTTTTCTACAGATATATATATAGTGGATAGAAGCAGTTTCCTATATTGTTCTATTGAGTTTTCAAAAAATATGAGATTACTGATATATTTTTTAGTATGCAATACAAATCTGCTATTAATATATAAGTATTTTTACAACTCTTCTCAATTTAACATTAATAAGAATTGAAGACAATTACTATTAATACATGACAGAAAAATATTACATCAAATGAAATAAGCAAAATAGGAAAGAATCTGCATGTATTGAATATTTATCGCACAGATTTATATTATACATATAAAAATATAATAAAATAATTACCTGATTTTTATAAACATCACATATCACATTAATACACTTTCTGCTGCTTGTCATCCTGTGCAACAAATAAGTAACAGTAAATAATAGCAAATAAATTAGGATAGTGCTTAAAACTAAAAAGTAACGAAATAATCTTTTGCATAATTCTATCACACTTTTTAAAGAATTATTAAAGCCTAATTAAAGAAAGATGTACGTATATTAGTTATCTACAGATATATATAGTGGATAGAAGCAGTTTCCTATATTGTTCTATTGAGTTTTCAAAAAATATGAGGTTACTGATATATATTTTTTAGTATGCATACAAATCTGCTATTAATATATAAGTATTTTTACAACTCTTCTCAATTTTAACATTAATAAAAATTGAAGACAATTACTATTAATACAGAAAAAAAATACATCAAATGATACTTAAAGATAAAAAATAAGCAAAAATAGGAAAGATAGAATCTGCAAGTTTTAAATATTTATCGCACAGATTTACCCTCACTTGTTGTTGATGTCGCGTTTTTATACTTTCCAGTTCCATCAACATAAGTGACTTTGGTTTCTTTGGTGCATTATCGACAGGTTGACATGTAATTTCATTTTCTCCAGTGTCTTGTGGTTTGTAATCTGGATAACTGCACAGTACTGGTGAAAGCACTATCGCTTCATATTCACAAGTCATTGTTTCCTTCCTGTGCAACAAATAATTAAGACAGTAAATAAATAGCAAATAAATTAGAATAGTGCTTAAAATTGAAAAGTAAAGAAATAATCTATTGCATAATTCACACTTTTTAAAGAATTATTAAAGCCTAATTAAAGAAAGATGTACGTATATTAGTTTTCTACAGATATATATATAGTGGATAGAAGCAGTTTCCTATATTGTTCTATTGAGTTTTCAAAAAATATGAGATTACTGATATATTTTTAGTATGCAATACAAATCTGCTATTATATATAAGTATTTTTACAACTCTTCTCAATTTTAACATTAATAAGAATTGAAGACAATTACTATTAATACATGACAGAAAAAATATACATCAAATGAAATAACAAAAAATAGGAAAGAATCTGCATGTATTGAATATTTATCGCACAGATTTATATTATACATATAAAAATATAATAAAATAATTAATTACCTGATTTTATAAACATCACATATCACATTAATACACTTTCTGCTGCTTGTCATCTGTGCAACAAATAATAAGACAGTAAATAAATAGCAAATAAATTAGGATAGTGCTTAAAACTAAAAAGTAACGAAATAATCTTTTGCATAATTCTATCACACTTTTTAAAGAATTATTAAAGCCTAATTAAAGAAAGATGTACGTATATTAGTTATCTACAGATATATATATAGTGGATAGAAGCAGTTTCCTATATTGTTCTATTGAGTTTTCAAAAATATGAGGTTACTGATATATATTTTTAGTATGCAATACAAATCTGCTATTAATATATAAGTATTTTTACAACTCTTCTCAATTTTAACATTAATAAAATTGAAGACAATTACTATTAATACAGAAAAAAAATACATCAAATGATACTTAAAGATAAAAAATAAGCAAAAATAGGAAAGATAGAATCTGCAAGTTTTAAATATTTATCGCACAGATTTACCCTCACTTGTTGTTGATGTCGCGTTTTTATACTTTCCAGTTCCATCAACATAAGTGACTTTGGTTTCTTTGGTGCATTATCGACAGGTTGACATGTAATTTCATTTTCTCCAGTGTCTTGTGGTTTGTAATCTGGATAACTGCACAGTACTGGTGAAAGCACTATCGCTTCATATTCACAAGTCATTGTTTCCTTCCTGTGCAACAAATAATTAAGACAGTAAATAAATAGCAAATAAATTAGAATAGTGCTTAAAATTGAAAAGTAAAGAAATAATCTATTGCATAATTCACACTTTTTAAAGAATTATTAAAGCCTAATTAAAGAAGATGTACGTATTTAGTTTTCTACAGATATATATATAGTGGATAGAAGCAGTTTCCTATATTGTTCTATTGAGTTTTCAAAAAATATGAGATTACTGATATATTTTTTAGTATGCAATACAAATCTGCTATTAATATATAAGTATTTTTACAACTCTTCTCAATTTTAACATTAATAAGAATTGAAGACAATTACTATTAATACATGACAGAAAAATATACATCAAATGAAATAAGCAAAAATAGGAAAGAATCTGCATGTATTGAATATTTATCGCACAGATTTATATTATACATATAAAAATATAATAAAATAATTACCTGATTTTTATAAACATCACATATCACATTAATACACTTTCTGCTGCTTGTCATCCTGTGCAACAAATAAGTAAGACAGTAAATAAATAGCAAATAAATTAGGATAGTGCTTAAAACTAAAAAGTAACGAAATAATCTTTTGCATAATTCTATCACACTTTTTAAAGAATTATTAAAGCCTAATTAAAGAAAGATGTACGTATATTAGTTATCTACAGATATATATATAGTGGATAGAAGCAGTTTCCTATATTGTTCTATTGAGTTTTCAAAAATATGAGGTTACTGATATATATTTTTTAGTATGCAATACAAATCTGCTATTAATATATAAGTATTTTTACAATTCTTCTCAATTTTAAAATTAATAAAAATTGAAGACAATTATTACTATTAATATAAAGATAAAAATAAGCAAAAATAGAAAGAAAAATCTTTAACAATTTGTTTTTTAGTATATTATACATATAAAATATAATAATAAAAAATTACCTGATTTTTATAAATTTCTTTTTCCATCACATCACATCAAATCACATCATCACATCAAAATTCAAAATTCAAAATCAAAAAACGTCAATCTGACATCTGACACACAACCTAACATCATGGATCATGGAGCGACATACTATCGCCGTCTGTTGTAAAACGTGCGAAATGGACATTTCCAATACATGCATCATTGCATGTGTTGTGTACGTGTGCGCATGTGTTGTATACGTGTGAATACGTATAGCACGATACTACTATGTTTGCGTGGTCGTTGATGACGGAGACGTTTCTTAAAAGAAATTTTTCATATTTCGACTTTGCATTTATATATCTCTGCTTACAAATCACGTAGAGCAGAAATAAAGACACTTTTATTATATAATTCGAACTCAATCTATCGATTAAGTCTAGTATAAACTCGATTGCTTCAGCCGTTATTGAGGATTCGAAATTTATAATAGACTCAAATGTCCGACTCGCGTTAAGATACACGGTGTCTCGGCTACGCCCTTAACTGGTCGCGAGACACTACCGTGTCTCTTGATACCGCGGAAGTGACGAACCGCGGGGTCCTCATCTCTACTGCAACACATGTACAAGTACACACACGCATACACACATGCACATACTCTGACATATGAGGTGTAAATCCGACCGGCAACCTCCACGCGGTACACCTCGGGTAATGCTAATGCCGGCGGTAATATATTAAATAAAAAATATTAATAAAATGTTTATTAATTTAAAAAATTTTCCCTTCTTCTTTCCTTATAGAAAAAATATGTAAAAACTAATGTAAAAAAAATATGAATAAAAAAAGTAATGAATAAAATATATTTTTATTAAAATAAAAAAATGTTTTTCCTCCTCTCCTTCACATCCCTCGCCGCAACATCTCTCTCTCGCAAAATCCAGGCTTGGATCTCTCTCGTTCACCGTCGCATCTCTCACCGTCGCATCTCTCGCCGCCGTATCCAGGCTTGGATCTCTCTCGCCGTCGCCTCTCTCGCCGCCGTATCCAGGCTTGGATCTCTCTCGCCGCAGGCCCGAGCCGCCGACTCTCTCGCAAAATCCAGGCTTGGATCTCTCTCGTTCACCGTCGCCTCTCTCACCGCCGTATCTCTCGCCGCCACATCCAGGCTTGGATCTCTCTCGCGCCGCGCGCTACCTCTCTCTCTCTGCTCCGACGGGAGAGCTCGTATACCGCCGCGCGCTGAATCCAGGCTTGGATCTCTCTCTCTTGCTCTGACTGCGCGCTGAATCCAGGCTTGGATCTCCTTCTCTCTCGAATGTGTGCATCTCTCTTACTCTCGCGTGCGCCTCGTATGATAAAATTATCGATTTTTTTTCGCTAAATGCATTGTCCTTGACACAATAATTATATCTCGCAAAGTATGTAACGGGTGGCGCGCAAATAAAGTACACCATGATATATACATATAAGTATTTATTCGTCTTATATTTAATACATAATTATGTAGTTTTATTACATATTAAAAACTAAAGCCACCAGCTCGCAATCGACAAGTTGGTGCATGTTGAAGGCATTGCTAGCGCGTATCGCATTCGACAATTCTCTCGCATTCGTTACAGTGGATGCAATATTGGAGAATTGAGTATATTTGATATCAACCGTTGCGACGAGCCTCGTCAATCGATCGTACATTATTTCGATACATGAATCGAGCTCGAACATACGATGTAACGTCGATTCGACCATCATCATGCGCACGTCCGCTGATTCGAGACTTATGAGCTTGGTGCCGTTTATCTTGTGAAATCGCACTGTTAGCGGCCCGACACTTATGCAATTATACACATCGTTGTTGGAGGAGGAGTCATTATTCAGGTAATTGTGAATAGCGTGGTGTTGCTCGTAGAGTCCTTTCCACGTTTCGAGAGATAGTAATAGCTGTTTTCCCCGATGATCTCCTATGGCGATCTCCACGTAACTCGGCGGATCCACTCTGATGCCGATTTCGAGGAATTTGAATTCCGTTGCCGTCAATGCGTATCGTCTTCCAAGTATACGAACCGCACGAGGCTCCAGCGAAACGCTGTAAAAAAATTCGGAAAAAAAAATTAAAACTAAATTAGGAAAAAAGAAATTATAACTCATAAAAATATAGAATATAGAAAAAATATAAAATAAAATTAAAAATATAAAATAAAATTAAAATATAAAAAAATACAAAAAAAGTTATACTTACTCGTCGCATTTCTTCTCGCACGTTTCTTCATGTCTCGGCATGTAGTAATTCATGCTGCTGCTGCTGCTTCTTTGAACCGAGGGTATTAAAAAGTGAACCGTCAGTTAGAACGGTCGACGAAAGACTGCTTGTATAATAAGGTACTAATAATCGAGTAACGGTCATTTTTAAAATATTAGGAGAAGGGGATTCTTAGAAATATATCTGGAGGGAAAGAACAAAGAGAAATATTTAAAATATTAGGAGAGGGGATTCTTAGAAATATATCTGGAGGGAAAGACAAATTATTAAAAGTAGTGGGGGTAAAAGAAATTCTTAGAAATACGATTGCGTGAGAAATTTTTAAAAGTAGTGGGGGTAAAAGGAATTCTTAGAAATACGATTGCGTGAGAAATTTTAAAATATTAGGAGAAGGAATTCTTAGAAATATCTGGTTAGGAAAAATAATAAAGAGAATAGTATGTAAATAATATGTTTATTCAAAAAACGGATGATCGTCGCGATTAGCCGACCACCAATTGAATAATTTAAATACATTTTGTAACGCGCAATTTTTTACATGTTTATTACATCGTAGAGTATATGTGGGATCTAATTTATTTAATGCAGGCACATCTTCATATATGGCATCCAAGGTCTCAATCATGAAACCGCTGCACGCATCGTCCACTATTTCGGCAAGCCACTCTCGCTTTTCAAGTCCTTTTACATACACGAGAGAGGACTCTTCTTCTTCCTCCTCGTCTTGTTCATTTATGCCATTGATAGCTGCCGTGATCAAGCGCTGAGCCATGCAGTATGGAACATTTCCATCCTCCCATTGCAAGCTGTGATGATGCTGAGTTATCCATGAGGCCTGGCGCCTTTCCGACTTTATAAGCACGCTCCACGGCACAGGGCATGCGAAGAAATAGTGTGACATGATATATCCTCTTCTCAGGATTGCCGCTTCCTTCACGATAAATCGCTTGTTTAGGATAAATCCTTGCAGGTCGACAAACGTTGGTGCGGACATGATCTCTTCGATGTGAGTCAGTCGAGAGGTATTACTTCACTAACATCAGACATCTCGCATCATCATGATTATGTATCCTCCTCCCCCTCCCTCACACGCGTAGTTGTGTAAACATTTTTTAGGTGATTTTGCGCACAACGTTGGTCAACGGGTTGTACTGGATCACGCGATCGTGCATGATGAGGCAGTACGCAGTGGTATTATTAGGTATATTCTCCTTACACTCAAATTCCAATCTCACATCCACCGTTGCGCTCTTGACCGATTCGTTTTGTCGAGAACAATCGATAATCACAAACGGACCGTTTTGTAAAAACCGTGTGATGGTGAGGCTCGGCTCGAGATACTCGTATCCGTAATAATTTTTGCAGAAACGCGCATACGTGTCATACAGAATCGACCATCTGTTTCTATCGAAATCCAGATTCATATCGTCGTACGGATAACATTCCGAGTTCAGATAGAGTTTCACGTTGGTTAATTTACAGTTGTCGAATCGACTCGTATCCTCGGACATGACATTTTTACGCCCTGTCTGCAGAGCAAAAATTACATATCGCGGCTTCTCCAGTTGAGTCGCGGTCTTAATGGCCCACGAATGCTTGGTCGTACGCTGCAATAGCGGAAATTCGTATAGATCCCACGAGCGGAAACCCATGCTGAGGTAACGTCCGCTTTCCAGAGCGCGCAGCATCGACAGCTTCTTAATCTCGCTCAACAACACGTGTGGCATTCGCCATTGTATCTTGAATATGTTGATCACAGGCTCCAGTGCAGAATTTCCATACAGACAATTATTGTCGTTGCGCGCTCGTATTAGGATCAACTCATGACGCGCATTAATAACCACGCGTTTGTAATCCTCGCAAAATCCCAGCAACATGTGCAGCGGTACGCAAAAATTAAAGTATCCATTCACAGTAGTCGGGCTATCCCAGCCTGCATTTCGCATAATCACGCTTCTATCGGATGACATTGTCACATAGTTTTTCAGCAGACTTGTTATTCCCACATTCCTGTTGCGATCAATCTCCACACCATCGAGCTCGTAGCGAATTTCGTCAAACATGAATGCGACGCAATTATTTCCCAGCATCACATTGGATCCCTCAACTGGATGAGTTATCCGCAGTTCACCCTCGATGTAGAGGAAACTCTCATACGGCAACGTATATAAATCCTGTTGTTGTATGGGTATTCTTATCTCGTCGCTGTATCCAAATGTTGTGTTGGCAAACGGGTTGTATGTGTGAGTCTCAAGTACACCATACTATTGTCCGTTAGACCGTATCTTAAGAACCTTATTATAACTATTATATATAATTATAATATTTTGGTTAATATAAATGTGTATACTCTAAAGTTTTGTAAATACTACGTAATTTTAATGACATAATTGTAACGTTATGTTAAATATGTAACATTAATATTATTTTGTTGATATCAATGTATATATTCTTTAAAAACCTTATTATAACTATTATATATAATTATAATATTTTGGTTAATATAAATGTGTATACTCTAAAAGTTTCGTAAATACTACGTAATTTTAATGACATAATTGTAACGTTATGTTAAATATGTAACATTAATATTATTTGTTGATATCAATGTATATATTCTTTAAAAACCTTATTATAACTATTATATAATTATAATAACGAAATTGCGATGTCACATTAAATAAAAAAAATATCGCAATTTTGTTATTATACTGTATGTAATGATTATATAAAGTTTTTACAGAATGTATACATTGATGTCAACAAAATAATGTTACGTATTTAATATAACGTTACAATTAGTTATTAGAATTATGTAGCATTTACGAAACTTTTAGAGTATACACATTTATATTAACCAAAATACATAAACGTTACGTATTTAACATAATGTTACAATTATGTCATTAAAATTACGTAGTATTTACGAAACTTTTAGAGTATACACATTTACATTAATCAAAATACATAAATACATATATAATAAAGTAACGCCAAAATTACATAACAATTTTATGTAACAATTATAGATTCATTACGTTATTGACATAAACGATACGTCACAGTTATGCAATAATTGCTAGTTTCTTCTTTAACCGTTACGCGGTGTACGATTCTCTATCTATCTCGCATTCAAATTTCAGTCAGGAAAGTTTAAAGTTGATGAAATTGACGGTAACATCTGTGTTAATATAGAATTAAATTTTCTCATGTAAGATCATGTCACAAAGAATAATGAGATTATCATAATGACAATTGATATAAACGAAATTAATCGGAGAACGATCGATTAAAATTAATACAAGCTAATTTAATTAAAAGTTTTTTAATTAACGATTAATATGAGTTAATTTTAATTAAAAGTACTTTAATTGACGATTGAAAAAAACAGATTCAATCAAAGACAATTCAATTGACAATTGATTTGAGCAGAAACAATTAAAAAATATTTAATTGACGATTAAATATATCAAATTTAATGCGAATCTCTTCCATAATTAATTGACTTAAGAAAATCGATATAATTTCTCTATTTCCATTAATTAACAATGTGTAACGATTAATACAATTTAAATTTTAATCGAAGATGTTTGATTGATGATATTAAAATGACTGAATTTAAATAATATATATCTTTTCCTTGGTTCTAGCAAAGTTATTGTACGTAATAGTTACAATATAAATAATAAATAATTTACGTTTTTTAAACCATATTTTTATTGAGAACATTTTCAATTCATTATACATTTTATTATATTTAATTTAATTATATTTAATGTTAATATATATTTCTCGAATTTTTCTCATTTGTTCTAAAATAATAAATGTATAATATGTTATATTAAAATGTGTTGTACATATATACAATATATCAGGAGACGCGGTAGTGTCTCCGGCCATGTTCAAACCCTAAAAGACCTTAAAAGACACTACAAGTCTCCTTATCCTGCACCATCAAAGTCCATTTTTTGGGGGTGTAGAACTACTAAAATATAAAAAATTTTGAATTGCACGTAACATAACTTGAAAGGCGGCATCGCCACGAGTAATTTGAGCCAAGAAAAAATAAAATCGGTCAAGCCGTTCCGGAGATACAAGCGGTCAAAAAGTGACGTTTTTCATGAAAAATTAAGAAACGTCGTCTTCTTCTTCTTCTTCTTCTTCTTCTTCTTCTTCTTCTTCTTCTTCTTCTCTGTCCGCGTCCGCTGACGTCATCAGGATTATATATATATATAAATCTCTTCTCACCTTTCACTCACACCTCCCTCAACTTCCACCCACCCCTTTCCATCCCACATCCCGCCCCCACCCTCACCCCACTCCCAGCCCTCTTTCGCCCTAACTCACCCTCTTTCGTCCTATTTTTTCAGTCTTTTTGTTCTCTCTCACCCTCTGTTGTCCTCTTTCACCCCTCTTTCACCCTCTTTCGTCCTCTTTCACTTCACCATCTTTCGCCTCTTTCACCCTCTTTCGTCCTCTTTCGTCCTCTTTCGTCCTTTTTCACCATCTGTCGCCTCTTTCACCCTCTTTCGTCCTCTCTCACCCTCTTTCATTCTCTCTCACTCTTTCATCCTCTTTCACTCTCTTTCGTCCTCTTTCACCCTCTTTCGCCCTCTTTCACCCTCTTTCGTCCTCTCACCCTCTTTCGTCCTCTTTCACCCTCTTTCGTCTCTCTCTCACCCTCTTTCGTCCTCTTTCACCCTCTTTCGTCCTTCTTCACCATCTTTCGCCTCTTTCACCCTCTTTCGTCCTCTCTCACCCTCTTTCATTCTCTCTCACTCTTTCATCCTCTTTCACTCTCTTTCGTCCTCTTTCACCCTCTTTCGCCCTCTTTCACCCTCTTTCGTCCTCTTTCGTCCTCTCACCCTCTTTCACCCTCTTTCGTCCTCTCTCACCCTCTTTCGTCGTCCTCTTTCACCCTATTTCGCCCTCTTTCACCCTCACCCTCTTTCGTCCTCTTTCGTCCTCTTTCACCCTCTTTCGTCCTCTCTCACCCTTTTTCGACCTCTTTCACCCTCTTTCGTCCTCTTTCACTCTCCTTTGTCTTCTCTCACTCTCTTTCATTTTTTTTCACCCTATTTCATTCTCTTTCACCCTCTTTCGTCCTCTTTCACTCTCCTTCGTCCTCTCTCACCCTCTTTCATTCTGTCTCACCCTCTTTCATTCTGTCTCACCCTCTTTCATTCCCTCTCACCCTCTTTCGCCCTCTTTCACCCTCTTTCGTCCTCTTTCACCCTCTTTCGTCCTCTCTCACCCTTTTTCGACCTCTTTCACCCTCTTTCGTCCTCTTTCACTCTCCTTTGTCTTCTCTCACTCTCTTTCATTTTTTTTCACCCTATTTCATTCTCTTTCACCCTCTTTCGTCCTCTTTCACTCTCCTTCGTCCTCTCACCCTCTTTTATTCTCTTTCACCCTCTTTCGTCCTCTCTCACTCTCTCTCACCTCTTTCACCCTCGTACGTCCTTTCTCACCCTCTTTCGTCCTCTTTCACCCTTTTTCGTCCTCTTTCACCCTCTTTTCGCCCTCTTTCGTCCTCTTTCACCCTCTTTCGTCCTCTCTCACCCTTTTTCATTCCCTCTCACCCTCTTTCACCCTGTTTTCGTCGTCTTTCACCCTCTTTCATTCCCTCTCACCCTCTTTCGTCCTCTTTCACTTTCTTTCGTCCTCTCTAACCCTCTTTCATTCTTTCTCCCCCCTTTTAATTGCAATGAGTTTAAAGTAACAATTTAATTTTATATCATTAGAATATTATTTAGCAGCGCGCCCAGTTTTTTTAACTAAAATTTTATTATTTCTTTTTATTTTATATTAATTTTAAATTTGCATAAGTTTTTAAATTTTAATTTTTGACTTGGCATCTTGCATTTTAGAGCAGATAAATTTTCCAATTTTTGCTGTATCAAATAATTTTACTTTTTTTTTAACTTTATCGGTGTGTACACACAAAACATTTCTTTGAGTAACATAATTTTATATTATTTAATTTTCTTTCTAAAATATTTATAGCTGATTTCATAAAAATTTTAGATCAGCTTTGACATAGCTTATACATCTTTTTTCGGACAATGATTTATAAATCGCTTTTTTTATTTACTCTTATTAAAAGTACATTTATTTTAGTAGTAATAAGAAACTACAAATTAAGTAGAATATAAAAGTGGCCTCCTCTGATATTATTAATGAAGAATAATCATGTTTCTCTTGTTACATAACATGTCAAAATATCAAAATTGATAATTTATATATGCCTCCTTAAATGTGTAATAGAGCATATTATAACTTCTACATACATTTCTAAATATAAGAATTAATATTTCAATGAGAAAAACTGCTGGTCAAAAATAAACTCTTCAAGTTTTTTTGCTTTACTCTAAATATAAGAATTAATATTTCAATGAGAAAAACTGCTGGTCAAAAATAAACTCTTCAAGTTTTTTTGCATTACTTACAATAAATTGATATACATCTCGTTCAAAGTCAACATTTGGTAAATCTGACATCATGTGAACTATCATCACTTTGAAGACTTTAAATATTCTGATGTATTCGTATATTATGTGATATATTTTTTTATATTATATATAATTACATATATGCAGTATTGCATATCACATGTTTAGTATATCATAAACATATTCTTTTATAAATGTTCGCGAACGCGCTGCGTGAGAGGAATCGAACGACACCAAAAAAAAGGATGAGTCACTTTTAGTGTAAAAGAAACTTTTAATATACGAATCTTTACGGAAATATAATGTACAATACTTAACAATTAAACGCACAAAAAAATTAACACAAAATCTAATCAGTTTCAGCGGACAATTCGAAATCAAAAGAAAAGGCGGTGGTCGTCGATTTAATGTTCTGCGGTTTTTCTAAGCGGTTTACTCTTATGCGTACACGGCGGAAAGCGATAAGACCGCAAACCGGGTGTGAGCTCCTCTTTTATCATTTTCGGAGAGGAGCCCACCCTCGCGTGAAGCGCCAATAATTTTGCGTGATTTTAAAGTGGCGCATGCTCAATAGCATATAATTATTCGGCGGAACGGTTGCGACACCGTTACTTGTTTGTGTATTTGAGCGTTTTTTTATATGACAGCTGTCAATTTACGACTCTTTTTTATTCCATTACAAACAAATGTGACTTTATTATTGCCGATCGAAGATTCTAGAATTTAACAATAACTATTTTCGAGATCGAACCTTGTCTCGACTGAAAACGTATAATATATGAAAATCCTAATTACATTTTACTGCCGAAATAATTTAACTGGCGATAAGAATTATTTTGCATCTCAAACATCCCGCCCGCCTTGTCGCAACGTGACAAATGGTTGATGATGATTTCGGCGCGGATCACATTCCGATGGTGATTGATGGTGGGGCGGGCTCGCGTCGGCGCGGCGAAATTCACGTGATGATCGCGTGTTGCGAATCGATCAGCTGAGTCGACGAAAACACGTGGTGATCGCGTGATGTGAATCGATCAGCTGGAACGGCGAAAACATGTGGCAGATGTGAACGGCGAGTGTGAGATGCAGTGAGCGGTGAAAATGAGACAAGTTTTAGTGCGGTGGTGAGCGAAACAAGTGATGTGTGACAATTGATATGGTGCATGATGTGATGATTGTGTAGTGAGTGATGCTATGTGTCAATGTGCGGTGTAGGCGCGTCGTTCACGCCCGGAAGAAACACGAGCTTGACGAGTGGGCGCACGAGCTCGGACGTGGCCGTTCGGATGGTCACGACGCGTGTAATTCCGTCGTCTCCGGGGTGCAAACGCAATATGCGAGCGAGAGGCCATCGGCTCGGAGGGGTGATCTCGGAGCGCACGAGACAGAGATCGCCGACGTGGGGTGCAGGTGCATCCTTGAGCCACTTGGTGCGTGGGGCGAGTCCGTGCACGTATTCGGATGACCATCGCTGCCAGAAGTGATCCCTCATCCGCTGCAGATGACGCCAACGTGACAAGGTGGACACCGTCTGCTCTGTCAATGACGGTTCCGGCAAGGCGAGGAGCGGTGCCCCAACGAGGAAGTGACCGGGGGTCAGCGCCGAGACGTCCTCTGGATCATCTGAGAGTGCCTGTAACGGACGTGAATTCAGACAAGCTTCGATCTGGGCGAGGAGTGTGCTCAACTCCTCGAACGTGAGGGTGGTCTCGCCGATCACCCGACGGAGGTGAAACTTGGTCGACTTTACGGCGGCCTCCCACAAACCACCAAAGTGCGGGGCCGCTGGCGGGTTGAAGTGCCAGCGGATTCCTTGAGTGGTGGCGGCAAGGATGACACTTTGACCTTCGGCTGTCGCTGCGTTAAAGAGACCTCGCAGCGTCCGATCTGCCCCGATGAAAGTCGTGCCGCAGTCGCTGTAAATCTCAGCGCACAAACCCGGCGGGAGATGAAGCGGCGCAGCGCGGCGATGAAGGCCTCCGAGGTGTAGTCCGAGACAACTTCTAAGTGAATGGCCTTCGACCAGAAGCAGACGAAGACGGCGATGTATCCCTTGTGCGCACGGTGTCCACGCCCCTTGCTGGTCCGGAGGAGGATTGGTCCCGCGTAGTCCAAACCGGTGCTGAGGAACGGTCGAGTTGGCGTTACTCGGTCCCGAGGAAGGTTACCCATCGGAGGCTGTGGTGTTGCGGCGCGCCATCGAGTGCAGGTCACGCATCGGTGTAGCTGCTGTTTGACGGTGGTCCTTCCTCGGGGCACCCAGAAACGCAGGCGGAGCAAGCCGAGAGTCAGTTGCACACCTCCGTGCAGTGTCCGTCGGTGGCAGGAATCAATCACCAGCCGAGTCAACCATGATGCCGCCGGGATGATCATTGGATGTCTTTCGTCGAGTGGTAGCTGAGCATGCTTGAGACGTCCTCCGACGCGCAGCACGCCTTGATCATCGAGGACCGGACTCAACCTCGCTAGGTGGCTTCGCGGTGGACTAGTGCGTCCAGCAGAGGCCGCAGCTACGTCCGTAGGAAAGTGGAGCGCCTGCACCACTCGCAGCCATCGAAATAAGGCGACGTCCAGCTCGTCCGGATGCAAAGTGCGGCCAAGTATGACGTCGCGTCTCGCCGGATTGAGCCATCGCCGACACCATGCAGTAACTCGCAGCAGCCTTTGTAGCGTCGGGAACCGGAGGAGGAGGTCAGGTTCGGCCGTGATCGGTGCCTTGACCACCAAACTGGTGGCTCGCTGCTCCGGGAGGTCATCCTCTGCGGCTTCGATGACGGAACAAGGCCATGCAGTCTCGTCTCCTGACAGCCAGGTAGGTCCTGTCCACCACAGTTTATGCTTAATGAGTTCGTCAGGAGTAACACCGCGTGATGCACAATCTGCAGGATTCTCTCGTCCAGCGATGTGTCTCCATTGAGCGTCTGGCAGCAGGGTCTGGATCTGAGACACTCGATTGGCGACAAAGGTTTTCCAGCGGGTGCTGTGTCCTTGAATCCAGTGGAGCGTGACCTTTGAATCTGACCACAGATGCACTGGCGTCGCTGTCAAACCGAGAGTAGAGCGCACGTGGAGCATGAGCGTGGTAAGTAGAGCTGCTGCACAGAGTTCCAAGCGAGGTAACGACACCTGCTTGACAGGTGCGACCTTGGATTTTGCCATCAACAGGTTGATTGATGTTTTCTCTGTTGCAGCGTTGCGGATGTACACCACGGCGGCGTACCCTCGCTCTGATGCGTCGGCAAACCCATGGAGCTGCAGTTGTGAATGGTCGGTCCCAGTGTTGAGCCAGCGAGTTATGCGGATGTCATCTAGAAGAGGAAGCTGATTCAACAACTGCCTCCAGCGGTGTGCGTCCTGATCAGGCAGCGGGGAGTCCCAGTCCAGCCGTTGAAGCCACGTCGTCTGAATCAGAATTTTGGCTCTGATGACGACAGGTGCGAGCCACCCCATCGGGTCAAAGAGTCGAGCCGTCTCGGCCAAAACTCGTCGCTTCGTGAAGTCGGTGATTGCACGCGGACGTATGGTGAAGGAGAACCAGTCACCTTGCGGATGCCATCGGAGGCCCAAGGTAGCGTGACTCTCTCCCTCCCATGAGTGCGGTTTGCGTTGATGCCGATGTTCCGGTGGAACTCCGGTGAGCACCTGCTGATCGTTGGCAGCCCACTTCCTCAAAGGAAATCCGCCCGCCATGCAAAGACTCCGTAGTTCCTGCTGAAGGTCGATAGCGTCCTCCAAGCTATCAGCGCCGGTGACCACGTCGTCGACGTAGCAGTCGTGTCGCAGTGCCTTGACTCCGCGTGGATATCGTGCCTCTTCGTCTGCTGCGAGTTGATGAAGAGTCCTGATGGCGAGAAAGGGTGCACACGCTAGCCCGTAGGTCACGGTCCTCAGCTCGTACTCGTGGACGTCATCAGAGCTGGTGTGGCGCCACAAGATGGTTTGCAGGCGACGATCCTCCGGATGTACAAGAATTTGTCGGTACATCTTCTCGATATCCGTGACGAGAACGTACCGATGCCAACGCCACCGAAGTAGGACATCAGCGAGTGTTGGCAAGAGATTGGCTCCAGTGAGGAGGTGTGCGTTCAGCGACTCTCCGGACCGTGTGCGCTGGGAGCCGTTGAACACGACCCTGAGCTTCGTGGTCGTGCTCGACTCCTTGAGGACCCCGTGATGCGGTAAGTAGCACCTAGGGCTGCAGGTTGTTGAAGTTGTGCTGACCTCCATATGTTGCAGGTTCTCGTATTCCTCCATGAAATCTCGATAGAGGTCACCGAAGCGAGGATCTCGTGCTCCCTTCCGCTCCATGGCTTCCAGGAGGCGCTCTGCGGGTCGACGAGTCTCGCTGAGCGATGTCGGCGGCGGTGAAGTACATGGCAGCCTCACCATGTACCTGCCACTGGACGTGCGAGTGACCGTGCGCACGTAGAAGTCTTCGCACCTGGCTTCGTCGGCGGTGAGCGGTGTCCCAGCTACTGGCTCGCGTTCCTGCTCCCAGAAGCGTCGAACCATGTTAGCGAGGTCGTGGTCTGTGGTGCACTGGAACGTGCGGCGATGGCCTTCGGGTGCTGCGGCGTCGTAGCCTCCGGACAAGATCCATCCTAAGCTCGTCTGCTGGGCGATCGGCATCCGTGATCCGCCCTTGCGAAGGCCTTCCTCGAGGATCAGCGAGTAGACTTCTGCTCCCAGAAGTAACTCCGCAGGATCGTCATCCAGGAAGCGCGGGTCGGCCAATCGAAGTCCGTGGATGTGAGGCCAGCTACGATCTTCACGTTGAGCGGTGCCTTGTTGCAATGAGATGCGCGGCAGCACAAAGGCCACCACGCGAAGCTCGGCATGGTCACGTCAGATGTGATGTCTATCGTGACCTTGCCACGCGCTGATCCAGAGCGAGTCCCTCCGATGCCGAAGATGGACAGATCCGTTGAAGCTCGAGGCAGCCGAAGACGCTGAGCCAGAGCCTCAGAGATGATGGACACCTCGGAGCACTGATCTATCAAGACTCTAACCTCGTGTGGTGATCCGTATCGATCAGCGACCTTGACGCGAGCGGTTGCGAGAAGGACGGCCTTGTGCGTCTTAGCTTGCCGTGCAGTGACCAGTGTGGTGGCAAGTGAAGTGGCCTCAGCGGATGGTGTTGATGTGGATGCCCCGTGCAGCATGGTGTGGTGTCGTGCGTTGCAGGTGAGGCAATTCTTTTTTGACTGACACCGTGCTAAGAAATGATTGCCTAAGCAGTTGAAGCACAGTCGGTTGGTCTCCACGAACGTTTTCCGCTCAACCGCAGTCTTGGCCTTGAAGCTTTTGCACGTCATCAAGGTATGGTTTTCACGGCACAGTGCACAGTGAGGTGAATCCGCGCCTTGGTGCTTCGTGACGTGCGCTTTGGCGAATCGTGATGTTTCTCCAGGTCCCTTTGTGACACTCCTCGGTCGTGCGGCGTTGAGCGTCAATACTCGTCGACTAATAAAGTCGAGAAGTGCCTCGTTCTGTGGTGGTTCGGTGGAGTCTGAAGTGGTTGACTCCCATTCGAGACGAGTGCGTGCGTCGAACAGTTCGACGACCAGGTGGTTGAACAGGTCCATCCCATGCGAGTTGATAGGACGTCCGATGCTCTCCTGTGCGTTGACTGCGGCGGTGACAGCGTTGTGGATGCGGCTCAGCTCCTCGGCGGTATCTCCCTTCATCTTTGGCACGGCGGTAAACGTGGCAAAGTTGGAGCGGATTAATTCTCTTTTGTTATTGTAGTGCTTGTCCAAGATTGCCCAAGCGCGATCGTAATTGTCACTCGTGACAGGTAGTGACTTTATCAACTTTTCAGCCGGACCTGTCAGACACGAGCGGAGGTGGTGGAGCCGCTCAATGTTCGAGATCGAATTGCTGCTCACAATGGACAGAAAAAGATCGCGAAAGGATGGCCAATCGGCGTAGGCGCCAGAGAACGGCGGCAACTTGATGCGCGGCAGCGAAGACTTCGATGCGACGTCGACGGATGGAGATACGTTCGGCTTCCGGAAATGTTCGGCATAACTATCCAAGGTACTGCGTTGTGCAACGTACAGATTTTCCGTATCTCCATGCAACTCCGACTTGTAGTATTCGCTCTCACAATATTTTTCTTTCAGAGCTGCGCGAATGAGATCATGCTGTGCCTCGAATTTCGTCCACAGCTGATCTAAGATTCTGGTGCGTGTAGATACGGCACTGGCGGTGATGTTGGTCGTGCCCAGCTTCTTCAGGTATTCCACGGAGCGCGAAATACGGACCTGGATCTCACGTTGGCAATCGATCAACGTGTTCACATCCATGGTGAACTACGAGCACTCACGAACTACACGACGACACGTTCACAAACTTGCGGGTGCCGGCGAGAAGATCCGGCTCGAAGGACCAGAAATATGTTCGCGAACGCGCTGCGTGAGAGGAATCGAACGACACCAAAAAAAGGATGAGTCACTTTTAGTATAAAAGAAACTTTTAATATACGAATCTTTACGGAAATATAATGTACAATACTTAACAATTAAACGCACAAAAAAATTAACACAAAATCTAATCAGTTTCAGCGGACAATTCGAAATCAAAGAAAAGGCGGTGGTCGTCGATTTAATGTTCTGCGGTTTTTCTAAGCGGTTTACTCTTATGCGTACACGGCGGAAAGCGATAAGACCGCAAACCGGGTGTGAGCTCCTCTTTTATCATTTTCGGAGAGGAGCCCACCCTCGCGTGAAGCGCCAATAATTTGCGTGATTTTAAAGTGGCGCATGCTCAATAGCATATAATTATTCGGCGGAACGGTTGCGACACCGTTACTTGTTTGTGTATTTGAGCGTTTTTTTATATGACAGCTGTCAATTTACGACTCTTTTTTATTCCATTACAAACAAATGTGACTTTATTATTGCCGATCGAAGATTCTAGAATTTAACAATAACTATTTTCGAGATCGAACCTTGTCTCGACTGAAAACGTATAATATATGAAAATCCTAATTACATTTTACTGCCGAAATAATTTAACTGGCGATAAGAATTTTTTTGCATCTCAAACAATAAATATATATTTATATAATGATATTTGCAACTTTTTGATATTTATTAAATACTTTTATTATGTTACGTTATCATTTTATTTATACTATTTTTTCATAATAATTTTCTGCAACGCTACCATTGTACTACATCTTTCATAAGTATATAAATAATTATTATTGGTAAAGATCGCTTCCTTATTTTACATCAATAATTATGCAGGTACTTATAAAAAAAGGAATAGTAGGATGGTAGTGTAGCAAGAAAGTAATTATTTTTATAAAAGAAATAGTTTAAAATGATAACGTATCAATATTTATTTTATACCCCGCACGTCAATATTTATTATTTTTTTTACATAACCCGCACGCTGCCAATATCGCGGAGCACTACTAACGCCGTCTGTTGTAAAACGTGCGAGATGGACAAAATTACCACTACATGCATCTTGCATGTGTTGTGTACGTGTGATATATGTGTGCGCATGTGTTGTATACGTGTGAATACGTGTATCGATTAAGTCTAGTATAAACTCGATTGCTTCTGCCGTTATTGAGGATTCAAAATATTATAAAGACTCAAATGTCCGACTCGCGTTAAGATATACGGTGTCTCGGCTATGCCCTTACCTGGTCGCGTTACACTACCGTGTCTCTTGATAGGGTTTTTATTTAAATAAAATGAAGAATGTATATATATGTATATATTTATGTATATATAATGTATGTATATGCTATTAGGCGTTTCGCCGTCCCCGTCCTCGTCCGCCTTCTCGTCCGCCCCTCCTCGGCCTGTTGCCCCAATAATAATTCGGCGAGGACAGTTTCATGAGGAAGCGCATAAAGCGCTCCTCTTGGACGCGAACTCCGGCGCGTCTTCCTCTGTAAACTGTAATTAAAAAAGAAATTATTTTAGTAATTAGATAATATGGTATATTTAGGTATATCTAGGTATGGTATAAAATAATAAATGTATAATATGTTATAATAAAATGTTATAATAATATAAGGTTAATATTTATATAAAATATATAATATTTTATTAATTAGAATATATTTAATAACTTTATAAATTTATTATAAATCATTTATTTAATTAATAATTAATTATTTATTAAAATAATAAAATATTTATATATAGAGAAATAGAGAATTAATTATTAATAAATTTTAATATATTATATATTATAATTATTATAATATTTCCGAAAATATTTCTTAATTATTAATTATCTTATATATATAGATAATATAATATTTATTTTTAATCAATATATAATTTAAATGTTATTAAATTAATAAACATTAATTATATATGATTAAAAAATAAATGAGTTAGATAAATATGAAAAATTAGTTAATGAGATAGTAAATGTAATATCCTAAAAAAATCATAAAAATGAAAAGGTCAGGCCATGTTCAAAAGAAGGCACTCAAAAATTTAAACGATCTAATAATAAATTATCACGAAAAGTAACTGATATGTTATTTAAGGTGCCAGTTCAAAGTGAACATACGTAAAGTGTATATTATCTAAATTTAGTAATAATATATTACCATGAAACGTAACTGTAATATTTTATTCAAGGTGCAAGTTCACATTGAATATACATACATAAAAGTAAAACTGATTACAATTTGATTCTAGAAAATAAGTGCGATATGTATTCTTAGTGCACAAAATATAATAGTCGTTTATAGAGATTTGATTTAAAATTCATACTAGCCCGTACAATGAAAAATAATTGCTCGTAATTCCAGAGTACCAATTTGTTAATGACTCAGAAAAATAACATGGCGGCCTGTTCTCAAAAAACTATGATGTTTCTCGATGTCCATTTAGAAATAATGTCGAAGCTCTTACAGAATAATTACTACAACATTTGTGAAGTACGAAAAGTATTACATTAGAAGAAGATTAGTTAGAATAAGGATTCAACGTATTTTTAAAAGCTCTACACACAACGAAGTGAATATACAAAACTATATACTAGCCTAAGGTTCAAACCCTAAAAGACCTTAAAAGACACTACAAGTCTCCTTATCCTGCACCATCAAAGTCCATTTTTTGGGGGTGTAGAACTACTAAAATATAAAAAATTTTGAATTGCACGTAACATAGCCTGCAAGGCGGCATCGCCACGAGTAATTTGAGCCAAGAAAAAATAAAATCGGTCAAGCCGTTCCGGAGATACAAGCGGTCAAAAAGTGACGTTTTTCATGAAAAATTAAGAAACGTCGTCTTCTTCTTCTTCTTCTTCTTCTTCTTCTTCTTCTTCTCTGTCACGCGTATAAATCTCTTCTCACCTTTCACTCACACCTCCCTCAACTCCCACCCACCCCTTTCCCTCCCACTCCCGCCCCACTTCCAAACCCCACCCCACCCCCACCCCACTCCCACCCCCAACCCCACCCCTCTTTCGCCTTTTTCACCCTCTTTCATTCCCTCTCACCCTCTTCGTCCTCTTTCACCCTCTTTCACCCTCTTTCGTCCTCTTTCACCATCTTTCGCCTCTTCACCTCTTTCGTCCTCTCTCACCCTCTTTCATTCCCTCTCACCCTCTTTCACCCTCTTTCATTCCTCTCACCCCCTTTCGTC